ATTAAGTTATGAAAAACTAATAAAAATTCAGCTACAGAATATTTCTAACATTTACATGCACCTAACAAATCTTATCACTCCTAAAATCCTTTTCTAAGTATCCTATTCTAACTAAGTATCCAGTTTGCGATGTTGAATACTAGTGTGTGTATGTCTGTGATGTTGGTCTCAAAGAAACGATTATTTTGTACCAAGTATACCATGAACCATCTTCAAAGGCATGAATCACTATTACAGATGAAGACCTGGCCCTTGTTAATGAAACGACCATTGCAGCAATTGGACTGGAAGAACTTTATTTAAAATTTAATTTAATTAAGGAACTTTACATAACTATCCTGATCTAAGGAGACATGAACGAACAAACCATTAGAATATATATCTGTTTTAACCACAGTACAATATTAACTTCAAACAAAGTTTACACTCGAAAGCCAGTGAGGCATTAACATTTTGGGTGCTTTCTTCAACTCTCTGCAAGGTCACTTGTTTACCACACGTGCACAAAATGATAGAGACACCACTAAACAACACGATTAATTGTGCATCATGATTTTGCAAAATTAAAATAGATTAATCTTGCACTGGACATAGTTAAATAATCTTGAAAGCCTTTGGTAGGCCTATATCTATCCCATAAAAGAATAACATTGGCTAACATGTGGCAAAGGGACGATATCTGCATCGCATATAAATAGTATACATTATATGAGGTAATGTTATTCTGACCATCAGAAAATGGTGAACTTGTGCTTTACTTGTATCATATTGTGAAAAAGAATTATGTTTAAATGTCTTATTCTTGTCAAGATAAGTAGCATTAGTAAGGGACATCAAAAGGCCTGTCATACACTTTTAGAAAGAGTTAGCACCTTTCTGTCTCTTGATAGACAAATCATAAAGGCCCAAATTCACAAAGAGGTTTAAATTCAACCCATGGTTTAAATCTTAATTTACATAACCCATAAGCGCGACACAGACAGAGGTCCAATATAAGACGCGCGCAAGGCAAGCAACGCTTATTTTGCACTAATTTTTAAACCATGGGTTAAGTTGAACGTCCTTTGTGGATTCGGGCCCTAGTGTTTACATCACAAGAGTGGGCACCTGCCATTATTGCTTGATAAATAGTTTAAACTAGAGATCCATGTCACAACTCATCATTTCTGCTTCCTCCCAGTGCTTTGACTGCAGACTTCATTGCTTCAGTCACTGAAAGGGATAAATGAGAGAAAAGAAAAGATATCAAAATAGAGAAACCATAATTGGAAAATGACATTTAAAGCTGACTATATGACAAAGATTTGACAAGTGGCAATACGAGGGCAAAAAAAAATAGAAAGAAGTTGTTACACTATTTAATAAATTGGAAATGAAGTAAGGGAACCCAAAAGATCATAATTGATATTTTTCATAAAAAGGTAATTATATGACAAAGATTTGAAAAGTGGCAATAAGAGGGAAATAAGATTTAGAAAGAAGTTGTTACACAATTTAATAATTGGAAAAGAAGTAAGGGAACCAAACAAAAAGAAAAGGCATTGAGTTCCTACCTACATTAGCACTACCAGGGGATCTTAATTATTTGTACCTTACTTGTAGAATTCTCAACTTTGTTTTTGCAGATTTGAATTTGAAGTACATGTACATGTACATGTATGTTCAGGAGATGTAAATCATTTTGAAAGAATGATTTGGCTGAGCATGCAACCAAGCATATTATTTTGTTGTACCTGTCTCTATCGAAACGTTGGGTGGGTGGGGGAAGGGGCTACATATTACACCCCCCCCCCCTCTAATCCGGCAGATCAATATCTATAGGAAGTGTGTTATATAACCTACTATACATATACATGTATCACTCATGACTAGCTGTACATACCCATTAGAGCATTTGAATAGAAGTACTTGTATTGGGGATTTCCTAACGTGTTGATTAGGTCAGGTTGAACTACGCCATCTGAGTTTAGAAAGAGTATACGAGGAATGTATCCACCGTCGGGTTGAAATTGAGACCCTTCAGGTTCCTCGTCATCCTGGGGAAGATAACCATCATAAAACATCACAATGAAAGTTTGATCTCTTAACCCTTTCAGTACCATCATATATACTTCTATCAACTTCAGCTCCAACTTTGTCAACTCCCAAAGTAAATCTTTTGATCCACTGGCCCACAATTTTAGAAACAAATCCCCTGCATTTTTGAACAATATTAATTCCCTTCACTTCTTCAACAACAAAAAATAAACACATACCAATTTAACTTCATGTACTTAAAGTGTACCGATAACCAAAACATATCTTACTCGTGATGTAACAGGTTCCAAGTCGCTCTATTGAATTCAAAATATAAGCTTCAAATATTATTTCTACAAAGAGATATTATAGTTTAAATACGTTCTCAGTAAAAAGCCAACACACAATTATGCACTCGCATAGAATAGGGTGCGCATGAAACCCAAGTGTGACTTATATTCTGTGTGAACCTTTTATGCAGGATTTTATGTTATCCTTTATTGTTATTATTTATTATCCTTTACCTGTGTATACACTTGAGGATAGTGCCTCGTATCATTTGAAATTACTATTGTCATTATTCCTAGCATAAAATGTTCAAAATAAGGGGCTCAAGGCAAATCTGAATACACATTCACATTCTAGTTTCAGATTGGCTAAAAATTTCATCCATGATACGTGAACATATTTTCAAGAATCCAGGCTAACTCGGCTCAAAGACAAGTCGGCCCAGCTGCAAAAATGGTCAGTTTTTTGTCATTTTACCCTAACCCTAACTCTAACTCTAACCCTAACCCTTAACCTACCGGGTAACCCTAAACCTGCATAAACTGACCGATTTTGCAGCTGGGCCGAGTTGTCTTTGAGCCAAGTAAGCCGGACTCCGTTTTGAACTACTGAGATATCATATTATATTATATATATATATATATATAGGATTTTAAAATGACAACTCACCTCTACGTTGACCATCACAAAGTCACTGCTTAATTTAAGTATTTCTTCACTGGCAGCAAACTTGGGTTTTAATGCTACATGGTGAAGACAGGAAAGGAAAACAGAGAGATATCAATGTGTGGAACACAATGCAAAGTGTCACAATGGGATAACATTCATCAGGATAAGAAGCAATCATCACTTTACAACAGGGCTCTGCACTATTTTTTTCCATGCGGGGTCCCCCCCCCCCCCCCACTCAGTGTTATTTAGGGTACGCATATGCATGTTCCCTTCTTTTGAAAACACCCCCCCTAAGTCTGGTGTGTAAAGTCAATACGGGCCAGATTTTTGTGTACTACGAGCCGGACTTTGGTGCGTGAAAAGTATCCCCTTTACCGGACATTTTGGTAACACGCATGGTATCACGCATGGTATATGTACGAGGCTAGGATCCCATGACTTAGATTGTAAGTAGCCAAATATATCAGTCTAGCCACTGTCAGTATTAAGCTATATTTGGCAAGTTTGATGATTATCAAGTTAAGGGTATGAATAATTTAGTTGTTAAATTAAGGTCTCAGAGTAACAATAAAACTTGGAAGGAGAATTGCATCAAAGCATAAAGTCCTTTGGTCCAGGGCTCTCTTAGAGGCTTCTGTTTATTTTGTTAAGATAATCTTGATCTGGTTCAATCTGAGCCATATTTGGAAACATTTCCAAACAAATTCCATGACTAATATTTCATGAGTAATGTTTGTTGAGAAGGATTTGGACCTGTGTGTGTGTGTGTGTGTGTGTGCGTGTGTGTGTGTGTGTTTGTGGGTGTAAATTGATTCTTACCGACGTGATATGATTATGGGACCAACCTTTAACGTCACCATCCGAAAGACTTTGCTTATTTTCGTACCAAGGTATGCTTGACCCAGTTTGTAGGCAAAGAAAGCATGCCAAGTGAATGTTCCGCTAGATCAACTCACATCTCATAAAACATGTCCATTTAAAATTCAAACCTGTTGCTGTTACAAATTAAAAGCCAACCTGTTTCCACAGGTCCATTTTGCATAAGTCACTTCAGATTTGTCAAAAAGTTTTCTAATACACATCTAGAGCTTTCCTGCTTCCTCTGTCATTTGATCTCAAATGAAGAATACAAGATTATTAATTCACCTTTACATGCTCCACACCAAGTCTTGTGAATGACCAACATCATAGGTTTGTTGCTGAAAGAACAATATTATTAGAGATCACATGGTAATATACACACATACATACCTACAGATCCGGGCTAACTCAGACCCGGGGACAACACCGCCCCGCTGCAAAAACTGTCATTTTTTTGTCATTTTACCCTAACCCTAACTCTAACCCTAACCCAAACCCTAAACCCAACCCTAAAATTGCAAATACTACTGTAATCGTTTTTGCAACGGGCCCAAGTTGTCCTGGGTCTGAGTTAGCCCGTCCCCATACATACATGTACATACATAGTTTTGTGCTTTGGCTCAAAAACTTTAATATTCCTGGGTCCATATCAAATTCAGTACATATCAGCATTAGGCTATATACTTAGCATTTTTACTTCGCTAAGAAACTCCAATTGCATCTGAGCATTTTACTTTTAAAGCAAGCCGACTGCAAGGTAAAATAATTACTGACAAGCATTGTGATGTCACACGGTTTCTCCAAATTTATGAACAATAAACCCATCGCATCATATGCACCCTTATATAATTGTGCGCAGCATTTGATTACCTTGTATGAAAACTACATGTATATGCCCGCCAATCAGGCCCTCTAAAATAATTGGTCTGCTAGGGAGGCTTATCCAACACACGTAGATCACAACACCTGGGCTCAAGAAATGTTTTAAGTTGGCAAAACATGTATGTTTAAGTTTAAAATCAATACTCCACACAAATTGGCATAATTTTAACTATAGGATATATGTTAAGTCCATGAGTTTTTATTTCAGAAAATTATTTATTTCCTACTGGAAAAGTACACCAATCAGCATCACCCATTTGAAAAAGAACAAAAAATAATGTATTTTTTTAATAAGTGAAGTATGGGTTTTAACCAAATTGAGTAAGCTACTTATCATCATAAACTTACTTCTCTTAGGCTAGCTTCAATCCATCTTCAAAGGTAACCCAGTCATATTGTTCTCCTAAACCTGTTAAAGGAAAAGAAAACATTTATCTCAAAAGTGCAGGCTTTTTTCTTCTATTTTTTCAGATATAAAACGTGATTTTGAAATTGAACAACAATAACGATTACTGTATAAAGGCGAGCGCGGGGGTGAAGCTAAATTCAGCACACTCCCTGCACAAGCCGAAGTACACTAAACTAATCAATAGGGACTTTTAGATTTGCGTGGACTGATACGTGTGACTTCCATTCACGGCAGTGCATTAAAAGGACGTCGACCGTAGCAATCCCCGTTGTCTTTGTGCGAATCTAAAAGTCCCTAATGTCAATTGATGACGTCATCATCCTTTATGCGCAGTAACAGTTTAAACTACGGCTGCAGGAATTTCAACACAGGGTGCAACTTCGACCAACAAAATGCTGGAAAAAAGACATCTAAATGCATTATGCAGTCAAGCCTAGGCTTAATTTTCAAGTATAAATGTGTAGTCGTGATTCAGCCCGAGCCCCTATTGTCGTAAAGTGAGCGTCAACATTGAGCTGCGAAATCAGTCATAGTCATGTATTTGTGTTTCCGGCAAAACCAATGTTGCAAACTTTTTGTGATTAGTTAGAAACCAATTCCATGACAGTCATATCTTGCTTCACAAAACCATGATAAGCGACAAATTCGGCTAAAAACCTAATCTTTGTCACGATCCATCAGATTTTATCCTAAATCAACAAAAGAGATTAGAAAAATGAGAATTAATTCGAAAGTACAAAAAGGTGTATTCTTTGCAATTTTTATAACAATTATTATTTTCAGTTGGCCCATAATTTGCCCGTAGAATACCTATCCCGGTGCCAGAAATTGACCCATATAATTATTCTGCTCAATTTGTTGTACCAAATTAGAAGGAAAACTGAAATGCTAAATACCTCCCGAAATGCAAATGTTACTCAAGTAGTGAAGCATCAAAATAAAACCACGAAACCACACTTTCAAATTGACAAACCCCTGGAATGACGGGCATGGACGTCATTTGTTCCCTCTTTAACATATCGCGGTGTATGCAGCTGAAAATACAATGGCGTCTAATTTCGTTTACATGTGATGGATTCCTTTATTTTTTTTATCGCCGCATTTTTCATCAAAATAATACCATGCGCCCGGTTTAGAGTGAGGCAATTGAATAAACATTTATCCTGACGGTAAGTGAAGCAAAAGAAATAACTGAAGAGAAGATGACAAAACAGGCATTGAAAATGTGTGAGATGTCATGGGACATCGTCTGCTTGTCCAAATCATGTTAAACATGATTGTGAAGTCAATCATCTCAGTAACTTTCGGAGAGCTCTTCAGGTGATATGCCAGGGCTGTATTTAAGCGTTTTGTAATTGATAATAATCATTACTTCGAATGTTTCCAAGCATTGAATTCTGATAACCTGTCTAATCAAAGTTACACCTTTGCAATAATGACAATAAAATTAGTTTTTTTAATCAATGAACCTTCTCTTTAAAGGTCCATGCAATTTCTTTGAAATTAATTAGAAGGAAAACTGAAATGTCAAATACCTCCCAAAATGCAAATGTTACTCAGGCAGTGATAGCATTTTACACCATTCAAAAAGGGATTTGAAACCAATTCTGCTAACTAAATTATTTTGATTGTAAATACACATAATGTAATAGGGGTTAATGAACAATGAAATAAACCACAATTTCAAATTGAAGAAACCCCGGAATGGGAGCATGGACGGCATTTGTTCCCCCTTTAAAGGGATTGGGTTTTTTAAATCAATGAACCTACTCTTTAAAGTTCAATGCAATTTCTTTGAAATTAATTTCTATTTGATTGCCCTGCCATCAGCTTTATCGCGAGAGACTTGATGACAGACTAACATCATGGATTCAGTTCCGGGTACAAGAGGTATACAGACGGCATCTGACTAGGAAGGCATTTGTGGATATTCACACTGAATGTCGGGTGAGAGTCCACCGTAAGCGGATTGCTAGCTGATTGAGAAATTGGAAGTTGGAAATCGGAGTGTGAGATGTGGATGTTGCGGAGAACACTGGAGAAAATGGCAACATTCAAAGTTCTGAAACTGTTTTTATCAACTCTGTCGCTTTTCGTCTGTTTTCCGATATTGATACAAGGTAACAACATTAATAATAATAGGCATTTCCATTGCGCCGTCTATCTAGATAATACTATTCCGAGGCGCATTTTATTATTAACCCGGCTTTAGCCTAGCTGCCGTTTTTACAGCGCTCCAGCATTTCAAGGAATTAATTCCTGCCAGGTACCCATTAACATCACCTGGGTTGAGTGTGGCAAATGTAAATGTAGATCAATGTCTTGCCAAAGGACATTAGCGCCGCGGCGGACTCGAACCGTTATTATTATTAGGTACGTTATTATCATCAATTCAAATGCATTTTGGTGTGTGAGTGTTTGCGTACTGGGGTGATCATGACTGAGTCGATGATTTTATGGAATGTCATCATGGTAATGCGAACATATATATATATATATATATATATATATATATATATATATGATTCCTTTTTTAAGGGGCAGTATTCCTGTCAACAAAGACAATGTTTCCGTTTTAAGCCGATCCTTGTATATACAAGTGACTAAAGAATATAAAAATAAGATTATGATTTGTAGCTCTTATGCATAACGTAACTTGGGAATAGCAACAATATTTTACTGAGGGCGTCATTAGAGAGACATTTGGAGTGAAAAAATTAGTCATTAAGTAGACATTGTCATTAGGAGGACAATTTGGTGTCCGCTTAACGTTTTTTTACAATTTATTTCTCATAGAAGGCCCAATTTTGTTATATATCTCTCTCTCTATATATGTAATTTTACTAAAGGCGTCATTGGAGGGACATTTGGAGTGAAAAAATGAGTAGACATTAGGGTTGCGGTTAAGTTTAGGTTTAGGGTTAGGGTTAGGTTTAGGTTTAGGGTTAGGTTTTAGGGTTAGGGGTAGGGTTAGGGTTACGGTTAGGATTTTTATGATGTCCACTTAATGTACCATGTAGGGTTATATATATTACACCCGGTTGTAGGACAATTACCCCCTGAGCAATCACCCCAGAAAAATTACCCCCCGGAAAACTACCCCCAAAGGACAATTACCCGCTGGGATATTACCCCCCGGATAATCATCACCGAGGACAACTAACCCCAAGGACAATAACCCCCCTGAAATTTACCCCCCCCCCCCCCCGGAGAATTACCCCCCCCCCCCCCGAGGACAATTATCCCGCGAGGACAACTACCCCCCGAGGAAAAATTACCCCCCTAGGACAAATACCCCCGAGGACAATTACCCCCTAGGACAATTACCCCCCCCCCCCCCCCCGATAACAACTACCTACCGATGACAATTACCCCGATGAAAATTACCCCGAGGACAGCTACCCCGTGGACAATCAGGATTCAATAGCAAAAGACGATCTGACACATTGAGAGATGGCTACGAGCCCATAAGATCCCCTGCATGAACCCATATCCGTTCAAATACTATAGCACGTTGTCTTCCTTGTCACGATATCATCAACCGCACTGGCGTTGAATAAATTATAATAATAGGGAAATGTGTTGTAAGGCCAGTGCGGTTGCTGATTTCCACGAAGGATGTAAGTTTTAGGTAACTGTCCAGCGCTTTGCAAAATGCATAGAAATACATTTCTCTGGAGCAGCGTTATTCTAATTTTTGTAAGTCACGGTACCCTCTTAAGAAATGAAGAGTTTTTCCCAAATCCCAAAGTCTTAACAGACTATTAATTGTGCATGATTCTGGCACTCGTCAAGTGCTATGCACACATGTATGGGCACATTTAAGAATAAACAGGGGAAGATATTTTCAAACTGGTAAAAAATTTGTTTGTAATCCATACACTATAAATGATTTAAAATACTTTATGCGGGCACCTTGCCGCTGAATGTACATAAATCAAAAGTGATATATTCGGTCATGACCTTTATACACGAATATGAGGATATTCGGGCCTCTCGTTGCCCTTATTTGCCTTGCTGTCAAAATATCGCGAGGAAGGAAGACACTTCAGTATCTTCAAAATTTTATTTTCTCATGTAATTACATAATTTAACCGTTTCTGATATTTGCTTTTTTTTACAAAATCAACGTTTTCCAATTCATTCTCTTGCGGCACCCCGGCTAAAAAACGCTGTGCTGGAGTTACAAAATCAAATGAGATGAATTATCAGAAAGCGGATATTTATTTCCTTTTGACATGGCACCGTACTTATAACTTGAAGGCAATTTCTATTTCAAAATAATTTAACGTACAAGAAAACATATTATACTTCAGCATGACAGCAGAAATAAATAGATAACGTGAAGAAAACCTTATTGAAAAAAAAATGAAGGTTAATGAAATTTTCTGTAAATAGCAATTTGGAGATAAGCTTGCATTATACGTCACAGTGTTATAAATTCCTCGGGGTGATTGTCATTGGGGGTAGTTGTCCTCCGGGGTTTTTGTCCTCGGGGGGGGGGGGGGGTTGTCCTCGGAGGGGGAAGAGGTAGTTGTCCTCGGGGGTAGTTTTCCTTGGAGGGTAATTGTCCTCGGGGGTAGTTGTCCTTGGGGGTTATTGTCCTCTGGGGGTAATTGTCCCCGGGGGTTGTTGTCCTCGGAGGGAATTGTCCTTGGGGGTAGTTGTCCTTTTCCGGGGGTATTTGTCCTTGGGGGGTAATTGTCCTCTGGGGTAATTCTCCCCCGCCCCCCCCCCCCCCCCCCACTCCGTGAACGGAGGGATACCATGCGTGTTACCAAAATGTCCGGTAAAGGGGTACTTTTCACGCACCAAAGTCCGGCTCGTACTTACAGCAAAAAGACTTTACACACCGGACTTAGGGGGTGTTTTCAAAAGGAGGGAACATGCATATGCGTACCCTAAAAAACACTGAGTGGAGGGGCCGGGAATTATCCGGGGGGGGGGGGGGTAATTCTCTGGGAGGTAATCGTCCTACGGGAGTAGTTTTCCGGGGGGTAATTTCCCGGGGGGTGAATGCTCATGGGGTAATTGTCCTGATATGATTACACCCGACTTATTCTGGGAATAAGGGTTTTGACACTTTAAAACCTATGCAGTTTATATATTTATTGAACCTTACAAAACCGCCATGTACAATGAAATTGTGAAACAAATTACGAATGAAAAGCATACAACAGAATACGCTTAAAGCGTATCCTAAATTCACTCGTGCAAGTGAAATTGTTCTGCACGTCGGAACAAACAACCTGGTAAACGATGACCCGAGCATGTTAGTGACACAGATTGAATCTCTTGCCGATCAGATCTTAGTGAAATGCCCTACTGTCTTAACGATCGCTCTGAGTTCAATAATCCCCCGAAAAACTTTCCAAAAAGAGCTTGAATGGAAAACGTATGAGGCAAACTGGTTACTGGAACAGCTAGCCGCTAGAAGCGGATGGAAATTCATTGAACATGACGCCAAAGATCCTGAAAAGCAACTCGCAAGCGACGGCATCCACCTTAATGCTGAAGGTGTAAGATTAATTAGGTGGGCTGTATCTAATACAGACCACCTTATAATTTTGTTAAAATTGCCTTTATTATTATTATTATTTATTTATTATTTATTTTTCTTATTTCGACCCACTTTTTTGTGTTCAAGATAATTTGAAAATGGCTCAATCAAATATCTTAAAATTTAACACACATATGTATAGGCATATTCACAAAACACAGCAAATTTTTCGACCTTGACCTTGACTGATGACGTCATCTAGGCGCCATTTTGTGAAAAATTTTGAAAATCAACTTATGATCATATCTTCATAACCAAAAGTAATATCTCATTCATATTTATCATGATCAAGGTCAATATCAGTCCGGTCAAATTCAGGTCAAAAAACGCGCGCGTGCGCGTACGTCCGCGCGTCATTACGCGCGCAAAATTTTTAAATGCTCGAAATCGTCTTAAATTTTTTTTGCATACGTTTCAGGTCATTTTAAGCATTTTATAAAAAATCGCGCCCGCGCACGAGCATGCGCGCGCGTTTTCGCGCGTTACACCATTACACAACATAGAATCGCCATTTTTTTTTCTTTCATGATATTTCTCATATTTTTTCGAGGAATTTGATACCATGTTTATCTCTTTATGACCATTAATAACAAGATGAGCGTCAATTCAAGATAAATGACAGTGCGCGCGAGCGCTTTTAATACATAGCATATATGGGAAAAAACATGCCTATACAAAATTCATTATAGCTCTTTGGAATGAACCGTGACCTTCAATTTTTGTTCATATTTGGATAGAGTATGAGTTGGAGATATGATTCCATGTCTCATTTGGCCATTAAGTGTATCGTGACATCATCATAATGAGCTTCAAACTAAAAATAGGAATTTGCATATTATGACGTCAGCATATGTGGAAAATTGATTGTATCTCTGTATATATTGATCAATTTTCTTCCAAATTTCGATATGTTGTAGCTATGATAATTGTCTACAAGTTAAACGATAACCATTCTTCATTTTGATGACGTCATTAGAGTGAAAATTTCGATTAAAGGCCTCATGTCAAAAATGACACAATTTGCATGTTATGCCTATAGAAGGTGATTTTAATTCACGTTATGAATCTACATTATATTGTTTTTTAAGAATTTTAAAGCAGTATCTCGCTTATTTTTGCTCTATTTTGTCTCAAATTTTAGTTGACCAGCCCACCTATACTTGTTCCAAACAAGTATTATATGTCTAGTTTTTCTTAATTCTCGCCACTTTTTTGTTAGCAAGATAACTTGAAATTGTCTGAATCAAATCACTTGAAATTTGGCAGACATATGTATAGGCATATAGAGAAATGACAATAATGTTTTCAACCTTGACCATGACTGATGACGTCATCTAGGGGCCATTTTGTGAAATTTTCTGAAAATCAACTCATGATCATATCTTCATAACCAAAAGTAATTTCTCATTCATATTTATCATGATCAAGGTCAATATCAGTCCGGTCAATTTCAGGTCAAAAAACGCGCGCGTGCGCGTACGTCCGCGCGTCAGTGCGCGCGCAAAATTTTAAAATGCTCAAAATCGTCTCAAATTTAATTTGCATGTGTTTTAAGTCATTTTAAGCATTTTATAAAAAATCGCGCACACGCGCATGTGCGCGCGTTTTCGCGCGTAACACCATTACAAAACATAGAATCGCCATTTTTTTTTCTTTCACAATATTTCTCATATTTTTTCAAGGAATTTGATACCATGTTTATCTCTTTATAACCATTAATAACAAGATGAGCGTCAATTCAAGATAAAACTCTGTGCGCGCGAGCTCTTTTAATACATAGCATATATGGGCAAAAACATGCCTATACAAAATCCATTATAGCTCTTTGGAATGAGCCGTGACCTTCAGTTTGTTTTCATATTTAGATAGAGTATGAGTCGGAAATATGATTCCATGTCTCATTTGGCCATTAAGTGTATCGTGACATCATCATAATGGCCTTGGAACTCAAAATACGAATTTGCATATTATGACGTCAGCATATTTATGGAAAATTGATTGTATCTCTGTAATTATTGATCGATTTTCTTCCAAATTTCGATATGTTGTAGCTAAGACAATTTTCTACAAGGTCAGTTGTCATTATTTTTCATTTTGATCACGTCATCATAGTGAAAATTACGATTAAAGGGCACATATCAGAAATTTCTTAAGTTGCGTGTTATGCCTATGGAAGGTGAATTTCGTTCACATCATTAATCTACATGACATTGTTTTTTAGCAGTATCTCGCTTATTTTTGCTCTATTTTGTCTCAAATTTTAGTGGACCAGCCCACCTATACTTGTTCCAAACAAGTATTATATGTCTAGTTGGGTATGTGATCTCAGATCACGTAAATGGAGTTTCTCACCCTAGAAACATTTACCGGTGCTCCCGCTAAATTTTGACAAATTTCAAATAGCGCCTACGGCCGTACAATGGTAGCTGCGACCATGGAAATCTCAGAATATGTAGTTGTGATATATAATTTCAAACGGGAATAGCTAATCGGTCTATTTTAGTTACGAAACATTGTTGTAGAGCTTAATTAATATCTTGACCTTGAGAGGGAGCTATACAACATAAAGAGTTTATTATTTACAATTTCATAACTTAAGACTCGATTTCAACCGCGACAATGATCACTAAATATTGTAGGATCGCATATGCTTCCAATATGTTCATTTGAACCAGATTCATGACCATATACCAAAACTTTGTATTAGCCTACCGTTAAATTAAGTCACGGCAAATCATCCCAGGCGCATGATCAGTATGCGGATGTAACAGCTACTTCAAAACGTGATGGTGGACATGGAACTACACCAATTCCATCTATAACTATGAATAATAGGCCAACAATGACCATGAACAGTTATACCGGGTGCTATAACTGCGGTGAAACGAATTACATACAGAGAAATTGTAGATATGAAACTAAATTAAAGTGCAATTCCTGTTTTCAATATGGATTTCAAGCTAACTGCCCACATCCGTCTTTGAGCACCCCCCCCCCCCATTACACTCATCCGGTGGCATTCCTCATCCTTATACAGTGCGTCCCAGAAAAAGAAAAAAA